CCCTTCTCCTTCACATTCACACCACCCTTGTCCTACACATGCATGCATGCATGCAACCCCCCACTTTGTCCTTCACTGTAGCAAGCGCAGGATGCATTGCTTGCAAAACAATATCCCCAGAGATGGCACTGCAGGCCTATGCCCCGCTGAGAGGCACTGAGCGCTAGGCCTGTTTTGGGCGAGTTGCAGAAAATACTCATGTAACACATTTGCACCAAAGCTCTCTGTGGGGATGTGTTGCAAAACCCTTGCGCAGACTCCCTCCAGCCTGTTAAAAGAGAAGCTGGCATGCATATATCTTTGCACAGGTGGCACTCCAGCTCCCCAGGATGTCGTTCAAACCAGAGACCACAACCATGTGACAGTGATTAGCAAATAAGCTGCTTTATTGAAAGCACTGGGTGATGGCTACCCGAGTGGCTCCATGGCAGCGATTGGGTTTAACTCCCTGAGAACACTTTGTCCTTGTTATTTCTTTCTTTTTTTTTTTTTTAATTCCCCAACCTCTATTTAGTTCAACAACTAGTTCATAAGAAGCACAGAGCAAGGTCCCAGATACTGGGACATATAAATTAAAGGTCAGGGACAGTTACAAGACAGTTCCATTTAATTTTTGAAACAGAGCATCAGACATTTTCATTTTCTTTTTTTTTTTCCGATCCACAGAAAATGTATAAAAAAAAATTTCTCTTTATATCTACATCATTCTCCATGTTCGAGAAGGCGCAGTAACAAAAGTACTGGCACAATACGGTATATACAGACATGCCCAGTATGGGCCAATTTCACTCAGCTTGTTTTGGAAAGGTTCAGCCCAGCCTCTGCCCGCTTGTCCGATGAGGATGGTCCAACCGCGGGCTCCAGGCAAGGACTGTTCAGGCAGGTCTGTGTCAATGCAGAAGCAGCCAAAAGCTTCCCAGGCCCCCAGCAGCTCTCCATGGGAGCAGGAGATGCAGCAAGGTCCACTGGATGACTGTGCCAGACCTCCTCGTGAAAGCTCGTCTCCCTTAATCTTGTCCCTGCCTTGGCCAGGTGAGGTGGAGGAGGATCACCCTCCCTTAGGTGCTGACAGTGCCATCCCAGCACAGCTTTTTGAGAAGTTGGATGCCACCCCAGGGACCTGCAGCCAAGCTCCAGTGTCCAACCTGGCTCTCCAGGAGGATGTTAGCTACTGGACCAGCCGAGGAGGCACATAGGAGGAAAAGGGGGTTTCTGGACAGCTCCTGCTGCCTACCTCCTCCCCACACTCAGTGATGAATGGGACCAAAGACAGCAAAGACTTTTCAGGTCTCAACCATGAAAGCATGGACCACCACACAACTGGCACACCCCTCCGGGGTCCTCCGTTTATGCGTTCTCAGCCTGGCTGTGCATCTTCTCTCCATGGGACCTGGAGCTTTCCTTGCTCCAGGCCTTGCGCACTCCCCGTATATTAGCTTGAACTGGGACATTTTCTCCTCTCAGAAAATGCCCCAACAAAAAGGCAAGTAAGAGAGAAGAGACTTTGCACTGAAGGGAGACGTGCCTTCCCCATGGAAATACAGCATGCCTACACCCAGCATCCATGCTCCTTTTGGTAGAAAAACCCACCCCTCTATAAAACGTCTTTTAAATTATTCTCTATAAATACTGCATAGCTTTATATCTACTGAAAATATTTCAGCAAGACCTGGGAACTCCAGTGAACAGAGTTTACGTCGATTCTGGGCTTCCGCCCCCACAACCCCTTTTCTCCCATCAGCGCGACCGAGTTGGAGTTCCAAGAGTCCAGCTCTACGTGTGACAGCTTATAAAAGGTACACAATCCTCCCAGGTGTTTCCTGGATTCAGCCCAAAGACAGCTGGGCTCTGGAGCCAGCAAACTTCCCTTCTTTTTCCCTGCCCAGGTACAGATGGGGTTGTCAAGAAACAGGGGAAAAAGTTTAGAACAAGCAAGCAAATGACTTCTCAAATGAACCTTCATCTGAAAAAAAAGGAGCCTGAGCCTTGGGGTTAAGCTGGGGTAAGGGTGGGAGGGCAACACCACAGCCTGGGTTAGCAGGAGTGGGAAGAGAGGTTTAGTGAAAAGAAACAGAAAAGCTCAGAAGCTACACAAGGTAAATGCTAGCCATGGCCGCCAAAAGCCACCCCTGCGCACATGGTTATTCCACACGCATCCTGTGAGAATTGCAAACACTGCAAAGCAACACATAGACCCTCCCAGGCTGCAGACCGGGATACCCCATTCAAATCAGCCCGTTTAAGTGCTTGGGACCTAACCCTTCCCACCTGCCCTGTCCCGTCTGCAGAAGAGACAAAGAGCACCACCGAACCTGCTTGCTCAGCCTGAAGGCTGGGGTGGGAGGGAGAAGGGGCCGCACAGCAGCCTATTAAAACACACACACTGTGCATTACACAGCAACAATACCCATTCGCCTCACAGCAAGGGGAAAAAAATGCACACACGCGCGCACACACACACACACACACCCCCCACAGGTCCCACAAGCCCTTTGGATACCAGGGAGATTTGGGACAAGGTTAAAGGGGACACATGTCTCCTAGTAAACAACATTCACTGGGCACCACGGGGTGTCTGGGTACAGCAAGCAGTGAATGGAGCGGAACCTGCAAGAGAAGGGAGAGAGCAGACATCAGCACCCAGGGCTGCCCCCACAGCGCTTTCCAGGAGCTGCGCACAGCAGCAGCACCAGGTTGGGTGCTTAGCAGAAGGAAGGAAGGAATGCCCCCCCCCATCATGCACCCTAAGGCGGAGGAGAGATGTGCTGCTCACCTCGATGGATCCTCCTCTACAGAGAAAGCACCCTTCATGTGGATGGAATTCCTCTTGTTTTCAAACATGCCGTAGCTCAGTGTCACCTGGGGAGCACAACGTTGAACAGGTCGGCAGGGCGGCAGGCTGGAATCAGGACCGAGGCCTGAGACCCGGGGCTCAAATACCTGCGCTGCTTGCTTGACCTTGCTGTGAGAGCCCAACTGCTCCCTGCGACATTGCAATACCCTGAGATGGAGATGCCTTGCCCCAGGAAGGGGGATGTGCTAACCAACAGCATTACATGGACTTGGAAAACCCCCGACACAGGTGTGTGGCTGAACTCCTGCTCTGCCTCAGAGCTCACGGTTGTCCCTCATCTTAGGATCCAGAGCGCACAGATGGGGGATGGATGCCTGGCTGACAGCAGCACCTGCCCAGGAAGTTAGACCTGGATTCTGGGTCCTACTCGGAGAGAGATTTGAACCCACAGCTGACACTCAAGGCAAAGGCTTTAACCATCAGGCCACAGAACAGGGCAGTCAAGGGCCGAAGAGTCACAGAGCCAGAAGGACAAGCAGGACCTGGCTGTAGAGTCTACAGGATGTAGCACTGTGCTGGGAGACAGGAGCCCCCACCCCCCAGGGTCCATCTGTCCTGGATGGTGCCCAGGGTATATGCCATCAAGATGCCCTGGGCTGCTGCCTCCAAAAGAACAGGTGGGAACACATTACCCCCCATGCTGCTGTTCTTGCAACCAGCGATTGCTAGGGTCCAGGTTCTGTGTGCAGGACATCTGTACTGAAGTGGTATTTGCTCCATCTTGGCTCTACTCTAATGGGGAAATCGGGGAATGCATGTCTACCAGGTTTACCTGCTTGTGAATCTCTGTCTTGGGCACCTGGTGGAGGTTCTCCAGGTGGGAGTGGAAGAGATTGCTCCGGATAAGTTTCACGCCTAGCACGGACTCAATGATGTAGCCAATGGTGCAATCATCTGGCAGACGGATCTTCTCTGCTGTGTTCATGAAGTGCCCCCCGCTGCAGGCGATAGTACAAGACAGTTTCAGTACAGCACTTCTGCTAGGAGACCACCTCAGCCCTGCCGTGGAGGCACCCCTGCCTCCCCCACTCCTGCGGAGAAAGGCTGGGCTTGGCTGCTCCGCTTTTAGCCCAGACCTAGTGCACTGTCAACCCTGCCTTAAAGACAGATTGGCTTTAGGCTGGAGGAGCTCGAGTCCTTCACAGGTAGTTTCTGGGCCACTTCAAAACAGTCAGGTGGACCAAGGTGCACTTCCAGCCACAAGATGCTGGGATAGAGCCCATGAAGTCCACAAAATAATCAGATCTCCTTGAACAGGAACTCCCCAGAGATCTCTGGTCTACCGCATTTCCCCATCCCAGCCCACAAACAGGGGATCCAGGACCTCATAGAGCTGTGTGGGTCCCAAGTACCCAACCCCCTTACCTGGCCCATGGGCTCATCTTCAAGGCCAGCCCACGGCTGATACAGAAGCCTGCTCCTCCCGTGGCAAACCAGAAATGGACAGGGTGCTGCAAAGAAGAGAGAAACAAAACCACGCCGTTTCAACCTGTTCCTGCTCCAACCACTATCTCACCAGCTTGTTACCAACACGGGCCTCATGGAAAAACCTTTCAGCTTGCCTCCCAGCACAGGGAGCATTACAGCTCTGTTAAACACCCTCTACATCCTACAAACTAGGGCATTTTCCAGAATAACGCAAGCCTAATGGAACTGGGACTGCTCACACCACCACACCCACTTGTCCAAGTTCACCCAGCCATGGATGTCTACCCCTGGCTGGCACTAGCAAGCCCACTGTCCTGCTTGCTTACCATCTTGTTCTCGCTGATCCTCTCTGTGGCTTGAATGGGCCGGTCCAGGCTGGGTTTGCCAATGTAGATGTCCTGTGTGTGGGGATAGCTGGACAGCAGCTTCACCAGCATTTGGACATTTACGTAGTTGTCATCATCCACGTGGCAAAACCACCTGGAGCCAGGAAGGGAGCCAAAGTTAGCTCCTTCCCATTCCCTCAACTCCTGCTACATAAGCAGGACCAGGCCTCCCTGCGCCCCACACACTGCACTGACCAACAGCCCTGATGTGCTCGGGAATACCCACGGAGGCCAAAAGCCTCACACCCCCACAGTGCAGCTGGCCTGCAGAAGGCTATAGAGCTCAAGCTCTTGGCATTTGTCCTGTCGTGCACATGAGCATGCACACATGCCTCTTCCACACATGCTAGAGATGCATCCTCTCCTCCTCCCACACCTCACAGGACATTCATTCCCTCCTTACTTTCTTCCCGACTCAATGAACTTGTCGTACTCCACGGCCATCTTGCAAGACAATGCCTGGCGGCTGTGGGCTGCTGAGCAGTTGGTGTTAATGACATTTTCTGCAGCAAGAAGAGGGTGGGGAGAGAAGCCATGTTGAGTCTAGGGTGCCCCATCCTCTAGACCCACTTCACTGGAAGGAGCAGGACCCACCCCTTGCTGCCCCAGATGTGCATGCAGAGCAGAGGGGTGGGAAGGGCATTCCCATCTGTGCGGGAAATGGGGTGCTCTTCCACAACCATGCACAGCTGCCCGTGGCCCAGGGCTGCACTACTGGGTGCACTCATGGGAAAACTTATGTCTTACACATCTAAATGAATGGAAGAGGAGGGGGGAAGACAGACAACAGCAATCCAGCATCCCTCCAGCAAGACCCAGCCCCACTCCCAGGACATGATATACCCAGCGCAATGCACATTCCCCGAGCCCAGCAAACAGGTGCTCATGTTCTACAGCACTAGTCCAAGACCACAGTGCTTGACTATGGGATAACTCAGGGATCAGACTATGGGGCAAAGGGCAGAGTCCCCAGGGACTTTGCATTCAAGAGCGATGTAAGATAAGGTGCATTTAAAGAGTTCCTGCAGCAGGTGCAGCTGAGTCATGGGAGGAACGTGGATTCGCCATATCCCAGTGCTATCGATCTGCGCTAAGCTCCCAGCTAAGGAGTCACCTTCCCCTGGGTAGCTGCGCTCAGCCTCCCTGAGAGGGGGAGGGGAGCCTGTGAACTGGCTGCTCTGCTGGGGAGTGTTAGCCAGAATCCTGCCCTATTCATGCTGCATTTTCCCAGCACCAGCCACCTGTTATTTGCTGGGCCCTCTCAAAGGGAATTGATTCAGGGCCTGAAAGGGACTCATTTGCATTAGAAGAATAGAGGGGCCTGACCCAGGGCCAGGGAAAGGGGCTGCTGAATAAACACTGCCTGAGTAGGGCCCTCCTTCCCCCTCCCCCAGAGAAGAAACTCCTACTCTTGTTCCAGTTAATTACAGCTCGGCAAGGAGGAAAATCCCTGGGAAGGCAGCTTGTTAATCAGCGCCCTGCTGAGCCGCCTCGGAAGGCAGACAGAGATAGCTGCCTGGAGCACTTTACCAACAGCAGGTATGGGGGATGCAGCTTTCAGTCCATCTCATCTCAGCAGGGATCTCAGCTGGGAGCTGGGGCTCCTTCCCACAGGTCACTGCTGAAACAAGCTGCCCCTCCTTGCATCAGGGCTCCACCTGCCCCAAAAGCCACCTGAGGGTGCCGCCACCACGTGCACTTTCTGCCCTCCTCAGAGAGCCACCCTGGCTTGTAGCTCAGGTGGCTGCAAACCAAAGAGCTTGCATGCGCTCAGTTCCCCTGGGTAAAGCCAGAAGCCATTCAAGGAGTCCTGGAGCACTGCAGGAGTGCAATTGGGCCCGACTTCCAAGAGTGCTCTGGACTCAGGGCAGAGAGATGAATTTTCAGCACAGAGCAGCACCCAGCGGGGCAGGCTGGCTCTTCAGCAAGCCTGGGCACTTGTCTTGCCCTTCTGAACTGCTGATATGGGGTGTGGGTGCTTCTAAATGCAAGAGCCAGATTTGGATCTGTAACGGTTCACGTGCTTTTGCACAAATCTGCCCGATGCAAGGAGAGCCAGATACAAGCCATCTGTGAGTTGGCGGAGGGTCCAGGTGGTGGGTTAGAAGTGCAGTAAAACCCGAGAGGCCAGACCGTGCATCCGTCTGTCACCTCTGGATTCAGAGGCACCAGAGAGACCTGCACTTCCACCTTGTTCACCCGAGCCATAAGTGAGAGGGGGAAAAAAGACCAGGTAACTCACTTGTTCGCTTCTTCAGTTCCTCATCCTCCCCATCGGTGAAGATGAACGTCTACAAGTGAAGACAAAACAGTGTGAGAATGGGATGGTAACGAGATCCCACTGCTCTACTGGGCAAGTTGCGGGTTTCTTGTGGGGGGAGGCACCTGCCTCCTCAGCCCCGGTTCCCCTTGCTGTTGACAATGGTGTCCCTGCCACGAAGAAGTCTCAGCATCTCATCAGGATGGCAGTCAGGACCTGGTGGCATGGGCATTGCTTCATTTGCTCTAGCAGCAAAATCATTTAGATATCAGGCAGGCAGGCCCAGGTGTCTGGCTGTCCATGCAGTGCTCCTAGTTAGGCCATGGGGGTACCCCACATCCTACGCTCCTGAACCCAGGGACAATGTGAATCCGGCACTGAGCTCTGCAACCTGGGCCTGGCTTTGCTCCTCTTTAAAGAAGGGATTGGGTTATGAAGTGCAGTGTATCAAACCCACCGGTCACAGCCCGTGCAGAGCTGTGGTGGGGCAGACCTGTTGGGAGCTGGGAAAGCACAAATGAAAGCTGTTTTGGGAGACAGGAGGACATCAAGGATCTCACCAAAATGCTCACCGCAAGCTCCGGAGAAGAGGGGCGGCTGCCTCGGGTTTGACAGCGCCCGTCAGGCTGGCAAAGCTAAGGTAGCCGAGCTGAGAATTCACTTCCAGAATGGAGCAAGCGAGATGAGGACTAGGGTGAGATTTCCACCCTCCCCTTTAGTTCTTCCCTGCGCAAAGAGGACAAGAAACTTCATCCCACATCCCCATCTCTGCCCAGACCCCATAAAAAATGAACAGGAAGGTGAGAGAGGAACGACAGGTAAAAGATGCGCTGCCTGCAAGAGGGTGAAGATGGAAACAGCTACTCCTACTAGCTGCCCTTCCTGGCTTCCTCCCTAGCTAGTCCTGTGTCTGCCCAGTTTAAGTTGCAGGAAAAGCAATTACGATTTTTCTCTGCAGCTGCCAGGACCATAAAGCCACGGAGCAAGGGATGGAGTCAAAGGCAGCCTGGGGGATTGAGGCTTGCAAGTGGGGAGTCATTTTGTCATCAGTGTCAAGGGTTCTGGGTGCTGGCTTTAAAGCTGAAGCACGTGCTATGAATTAGGAACCGGGTCAGGCTCGGGGTGGGGAGGGAAGGGCACTGACCCCAGAGGTAAGCGTTTTAGGGGCAAAGCTGAGGGATGTGTGTCCTATGGCATGAGATGCAGTGGCCCAGAGAGCCAGCGTTGCTCCCAGGCTCTGAAGCAGTAGCTTCTGCCTGCGGGCCATGCTGCTGAACAGCACCCAGGGCTCGCCTACCCACCCCACGCCCCAGCGCCCGCGAGGACCCGAGCAGGTGTTTGCACTCCTGGCTGCCAGGACACCCCGTGTGTGACGAGGCAGCTGCCCCACACTTGTGTCAACAGCGCCCAGTGCTTCTCGCTGGCACCCGGCACCAGCGCAGCCCTCTCGCCTGCCTCCCTGCCCTTGTGTTTACTTAGCTGGAGGTCAGGCGGCAGCAGCTGCTTATCTCTGGCACGAGCCCGGCCTTGCCCAGCCTGCTGCAGCCAGGGGATCAGCACCGCTCCCTGCACCTGTCGGAGGGCACGTGTGCATGCCCCAGCCCCGCCAGCTCCCCAGGTAACCGAACCACCTTCAACCGCTGCCTGGCCTGGGGCCCAGCAGCGAGTGCCACCCACCCCTGCACCTGAGCCACCTGCCTGGCAACACTCCCTTATTTACACAGCTAATTCCCAGCATATGTCCGCTGGCCCTGGGGGGCGCGTGGGGGGCGGGGAGCTCGTCCCGCCGTTCTCAATGGGTTTGGCTGGGGCAGGGGCGGGTAGCAGAGCAGGAGGGGGAGAATTGGGGGGGGGGGGAAAGAAA